TATATATATATATATATATATATATATATATATATATTACCAATGCCCCCAAAAAAATAATAGCCATATTTGGAAGGAGCACATCCTATATCAGATAAATCACAAAAGTAAAATACGTCTTATATTTTTAAGGGTGCAATTTGTATAGAGCCTAAGCTCTAAACAATCAAATTAAAGCCTACCTTCAAATAGTATGGTTTCAATACTTGAAATCTTTATGATAGACTTAAAATATATTTTCATCTTTATTAATAAATTTTAAAGCTTCGAAATAGTGTATATGATTGATCTATGAAAATTTTGAAAATTGATGGCCCAAAAATACGGTATAAAATACACTATTTCCAAAACTTGAACTCCATTTTTTTCTCATATCCATGCATCTTGATGTCGAGATAATTAATTGTAAGATGTTTGAGCATCAAAACAACATCTTCTAGTGAAATTTTTGAGGTAGTCTCTAATTTTATTATTTAGAGCTTCGGTTCTATATAAACTTTTTCCTATTTTTAATTTATTTAATATTTATTTACATTTTAAAAATAATGGATTTGTAATTACATAGATAGATTACTCTAAAATATGATGGATTTAACAAAAATGTAATCGATATAAAATGGCATTTTTATTTAGAATTATGAATCCACATATATATCGGCCTTTGCGCCGTTATGTATTGGTTCATACATAACAATATTACGATATTTTCCCCCATTGTCTGACATTGAGTAACCATAACGATCATCATATCATAACAGGATGGGCCACACCCAACATAACGGTTGATATATGGTTCTTGATAGTTGGTACGGTTATGCTATAGTGGGGAGTATAAACTATTGGGCAAGCTTTCTATGCTTCCCCTACAACATAAAACTTATATACTTCCCCTTATCCAACCGTCCATTCTGAATGGAGAGCTAAGATTGCCCCAATCACAATGTCATATCTCTACACTATTTTATTTTATTTTATTTTTCTATAAACTATCTTGACACCAAATTTTGTTCGTCCAATCCTCTATTAAACTCACACTAGTAACAAATATATATAAAAAAATTTTAATAAATAAATATAACCAAAATACTCCTAAAAGCTTCAAGGGGTATTTTGGTCATTATATTTTATCGAACATTTATTTTTAATATTTTTTATAATTGCGCCCCAATGAGAATATGACAAGTACCAAATTTCATGTTCATACAATTTTTATAAAAAATCTAAAAATAAAATAATTTGAGACATCAGATCTAAGATCAAATGGTCAGTGGCTCTCTTGATAAAAATTAGACGGCTGGATGGTAGGGGAAGCATAGACCTTCTATGTTGTAGGGGAAGTATAGAAACATTTCCCTAATCTATTAGGTTTGATTTATAAAATGTGTCCACATTAAACAATCAAAATAAGGGGTGCCTCAAAAATGTGTTGAAAGACGTAATTCCAACGTCATAAACTCTTGCGATGGCCACAAAATCTATTTGTGCCTCTAAATATGAAATTTAAAGCTCAAAAAATAATGTAAATCAAGCAAATCTATAAATACTTGAAAATCTTGGAAATGAACGGTCCAAAAAATATATCACAAGATGCACAACTACCATGACTTCCGGTTTTTGCATCCACATATCTTGAGATGATCGATTTGAGGGTTTCTCAGGGTCTAAACAATCTTTCCAAGAAATATTTGAGGTGAGACTTACTTATATAGTATAATGTTGACACCTTATATAAACTTTTTACTATTAGTCAAATACAAAATAATAGAATTTGTGCAGTGTGGTTGTAATATCAAAACTATATATTTTTTTACGTGATATAACGTGTTATTTTGAAAACCAAATCTTTTCAAAAACTAATGTTCATCTTGTTTATTTTTTCATGCTTTCTTTTCGTATCATTACTTTCTTTTCCAAATTTCCACTTAACTCATTTTCTTCTAATTTCTCATTTTCCCTTATTGTTCATTGTACCATACCATTATCTTTACATAGTAGTCCGGGAACCTGCCCATGTCGATGGAGATTCCTTTTCTTGAACTTTTAAACTAACAAGTCAATGGCTAAGTAACTTGAATCAAGGAGGAAGAAAAACAATTATTATTATTAGTAGCAATGTTTCAAAACACTTACCGGTATAAAAGTTATTTATGCAATAGTGACAGGTTTATGATTATTTTAAAAAATTGTGTATAGTTGGCATTATTAAAGGAGCCAACTCGTAGGTGTCACTCTCCTATCGCTGGTGGGAGGAAATCAAGGGGGGTCTTTGGAAAACGAACTGTAGCATCTCCCCCATCCAAATTCAACTCAGTAATATGCAAACTAACATATAGGTTTCAGAGCACCTCCTCCAACTAAGGGCTTGCAGAACTAGCACAGAGAGAGAGAGAGAGAGGCCATGGATTCTAGGGAGCAGAAACGGGTGGCTTTGCGCGAAAAGCTGCAAGTTCTTCGCTCAGTTACTAACTCTAATGCAGTATGCCACTATGAATCTGTTTCCTGCGATTTTTAGAACAAGAGCTTCTTCTCATTCCTCTCTGTGAAACGCATAGTCTCGATTGCCTTTTTGTTTCTACTTCACTCCTCATAACCCACTTACTCTACTGCTAATTCTTCTGCGGAGGTCCAACTAATCTAATCTAATCTCTCTCTCTCTCTCTCTCCAACTAATCTAATCTCTTTCTCTTTCTCCAACTAATCTATTCTACTCTCTCTCTCTCTCTCATGTTTTACAACCGTTGAGTTCATCATCGAGTCATCTCTCTCTTCACGTTTTACAACTACTATTCTGTTCGTCATTGAGTCATCTCTCTCTCATTACAAATGTTGAGTTCACCATCGAGTCATCTCTTTCTTTCTCATGTTTCACAACTGTTGTATACATCAACGAATCATCTCTCTCTCTCTCATGTTTTCCATAATCATCGTGGTCATCATCATCCAAATGAACAATAACGATGATAGCCATTAACGAGTACGTCGGAATATATTTTTTTCAATATTCGTATTATTTCACTCACGTTCTTCTTTCCCATATCTTTTACAGGTAAATAAAGCGTCAATAATCGTTGATGCTTCAAAGTACATCAAGGAATTGAAGCAAAAAGTAGACAAACTCAATAAAAACTTTCAAGCTGATGTCGAACCCGTTGACCAAAGCTCCCTACCTTTGGTACCAATATCTTTAATTTTTGTAAAATGCATTTACAATTTTTAGAGGTAAAATTCATGTTTATGCTTACTTATTCCCCTCTATTAATCTTGAAGAATTTATTTGTCTTTTTTTTTTTTTTTTTGTTAATTATAGCACCAAGTTACAGTGGAGACACTGGAAAAAGGCTTCTTAATCACTGTATTTTCGGCAAAAAGCGGCCCTGGTTTGCTTGTCTCAATTCTTGAGGCGTTTGAGGAATTGGGCCTAAATGTGCTACAAGCTAGGGTTTCTTGTACTGATACCTTTCGGCTCGAAGCAGTTGGAGGAGAAGTAAGCTTAAACTCTCTCTGATATATAGCTATTTCTAATCTCAATTATAACCATCCAAACTAAGAATCTAGTCATTTCTAAATCAAGTTGATTAGCAACAAATATGGAAATTTTTTGCAGGATCAAGTGGAGAACGAAAGCGTGGATGCCCAAGCGGTGAAGCAAGTAGTCTTGCAAGCAATCAATAACTGTAGTGGAAGTAGTGGCCAGGAATAAAAATCATCCCTTCTTTCCTCTTTCCTGTTCTCTTTGGTTTTTCTAACGGGTTTGATGGAGTTTTTGTGATGAACGTTGGATGGCTCAAGCAAAATGATCATGCTTTCGAAAACCCAATGTTTAGAAATGATCTTTTTCCTACGGTACATGATCAAGAACCCAAATTTAAACACCAAAAGTACAACTGATGAAGGGGTTCTCCGTGTGTGTGTTCATTTGCTCCCACATTCTTTTGAGGAGCTATTTATGGAGTAGTTGCCATTGAAACCCTAGAATGCAGTCAAAATTAGTACCAAGACTTAGAAAGGTCCTCCATACAGCTAGACACAAACTATAAAAACACTCCACCAGTAAATTAGAGGAATTTTGAGATAGCAAGAATGCCATGTATGGATATATGTGGTTAATGGTCAGAGAACATCAAAAGTAATAAAAGAAAACACCAGAAATCCAAGAGATTGATAGACCTTAAAACTACAGAAGTAATATAGGGAAAATCAAACATTTCAAGCTTCTAAATCTGATCTTATTAACAACTCTATTTTGTAAGAGAGAACAAATTTAATGAAATCCCAAAATTGTGGGATTAAATGACAAAAGTAACGTCAAATCTTTCTTTTTCTTTGTATTTTTTTTTTGAAATGTTAAAAATGGGAATGGAGGGCAGATGTTATGTTGAAGCGTCCACCCCCCCTAACACCCATGCCCCCAATCAATATTTTTCTAGGACATCCACAAGTACATTTAGCATCTCTTTTGCCCCAAGGTAGTTTAACAAATAGTATTCAAACCCAATACATCGTGTTATAGCTTCCAAAAATGTTGTGCGTGGAAGCTCTAAACCTGATGGGTTGATTTTTTACAAGTAAAGCCTAAAATACATACCACATAAAGTATAAAATACATACCACAAGAGCACAAAGATTTACGTGGTGCATCCAACAAGGGCTATATCCACGGGCATGGCAAACTGAAATCCACTATACCAATGAAAGTTACATCAAAGATTTATGGACATAGAGTTACTTCTCCAACCCTCGACAAAACCAAATTGAGCAAACCCTTTTAAACTACTCTCCCGACCAACACTACATGTCGTTCTTCCTTCTTTTTACTTCTAGCGACCATTACTGATAACACCAGATAGAGAGGCAAGAACAACAACAAATTGACTCTCTAACTAAAAGAAAACGACCCAAATTTCTATGAGAACTGCTTTTCTACAAAAAACTAGTCTCTCAATTTAGGAGTCTACAAGAGACATAATCATAATGTTTCTCCTCATATGAAACTCTCTTTTCTCTGAGAGGAAACCTTGCATCTCATGTACACTCTTCATAGGAAGCTCTCTTTTCTCTAGGAAGACGCCTTACTTCTCATGCATAGGAGGCTCCTGCCGCCCTCTCTCTCTAGAGGAAGCCATATTTCCCATATGGTGACCCAAATAGGGCATACACCTTTCCTCTTTCATCCCATATATATAAGGTTAGGAATCCACACTAAATAGAAAACTTCATATAGATGTTACATATATCTTACGAACTAAGAGATATATATCCAAGAGTCCTAATCTTTTTTTACTTCTATTTCCTTTAGGAATCTTATCAATATCATTCTCAATCCCACATAATATGGAATGTCCTTATGTGGATAATTTTGGATAGCCCTAAATCCAACAAAACACTCTAACCATCAGGCCAAGTCCTCAAAAATTTCACTGATTTTATAGCATTCAAAGAGTCACCTTCAATAATGGTCTTTGTATAGTGAATGAACAAACCAAGAGAGCCATGAGTACAATTTCAACTTCACTAAATAATGCATCATGAATCCACCAATGAACCCCACAGCATTCAAAGAATCATTTGATGATATCCATGGCCACCTCATGCACTCAAATTTGAGGAGTGGGGTCGAGTTGACGTCCCCACTCTGGCCGTCGGTCTGTTCGTTGCCACAAGTTGGTTTGCAACAATTTCAGCTTTTTTCAATGATTCGAGATTTGGATGGTATTGTTGATATGGACTGGAATTAAGAGAATTATTAGAAGTAGAGATGGTTTTATCAGTCCAAATATTAGATTCAACTAATTTTCTAAGTTTGAGAAAAATATCATAGCAATTTTAAATTATTTCTCCAATCTCTACGAAGCTTGAAGCCAAATGACCTAGAAATGAAGGATATAAAGAGAATTAGGATTCTTTCATATAGATTCTGTAAATTGGTTTAAATTGGTAATAAAAATAGGGGTAGGGAGGAAAGGTTGCATTCAGGTCTTAGAGTAAATAAGCATTAAGAATTTACAGGACTATGAATGACTACAATTGCATGATATAGCTGAGCAAAGAGCAATTCCATGATTTATGTGGTTATCTAAATTCACACAAGATAGACAAAGATCTAGCATCATGAAACCTAAAACGTTCTGCAAATGACAAATGAGGGCGTTTGGAACAGTTTCAAGAAACGTTCACTCCATCAAGCATGATACTTGAATTCATGTCGAAACCACAAAACTCAAAAATCCAATTTGGTCACCTAATGTCAATCCATTTTTCCCTCATATCTTTCTAGCATATGTTGATTTGGTATCTAAAATTCAGTTCAAAATTTAACAGTGACTTCTGTGTAATATTATCAGGTTTTTTCCATAGTCAGGGATATTTGTTGGCAAAAATCATCTTTTTTTTAAGCTCAAAGGGGAAATGTGGTTAGGGTGAGTTAGCCATCTAATTGAAGAATCAGTTTCAATAATAATATGTTATATTATTGGCACAAAAAGCTAGAATTATGCACCAAAGACTACGTTAATAAAGTTTTGGAGTTTGAAGGAGTTCATAAGGGTTGGACCATGATGCAGTATAAAATTTACCGACAAACATCACTTGGCAAATTAACCAAGTTTATGAGAGAGAATTAAAAATTATGAAAGAAATCACAAGAAGAAAGAACAAATGTGTGGATACTAGTATTTCGGCATGGACCCACGAACTTAATAAAAGAAACAATTCCTACAAAGGGCTTCTCTCTCTCTCTCTCTCTACAAGAAAACACTTTCTTCCATACTCCCCCATGGAAGTCACCAACTAAAGAAGCTGCTGCCAGAAGATGTGGCTTTGGAAGTTTCAACTTCCACCGATCAAATGAGCCCTTGAAGTGCAATGGATTTCCTAGAGGAAACCATTAACTTTAATGAGGATAGAATTCTTTTCTGTTGGGATTTGCAGAAAACATTAAACTAGATGACTACCTACTTGTTCATGTTTTATTGTTGTTTCTATGTACAATACAATTCTCTAAAGTGTATTAAAACTCAGAGTTGAGTTTTTGGATGACTACCTGTTGTACTAATCCGAACGAATGATCCAGATTATCTGAACCAGTGAAATATTGGTTAAGAAAATAATAAAAAACCAAAATTGGAGGAATTCGGGGAAGGGGGACGAGGGTGGGATCAGGTCTTGCACCCCCTAATCTGATCCAGATTGGTATTCTCAATACAGATAATCGGGTTTTGAAACCCTGCTAGAACATGTATCATGCGTTTGTGATAAAATTGTCAAGACTATTAAAAAAAAATTGCAAACCGAACAGATCCAAACTTTCTTTGGGATCAATTAGAACTCCATTTTGTATTTCAGTACACAATTTGGGAGGAGCTAGAAGGAAAGCAATGTCAAAGATGAGCATTCAATGCAATAAATTCATGGTATATTGAGTGGGTTATAAGAAGATTTGAGCATCTAAATGCGTTATAAAACATTTGAGAATTGGACAAATACAGCTTTGGAAAGTCCAAGATACCTTTCTACAACAGTGAATTGTGCGAGGACATTTAAGGTATTCTTCATTGCGCATCTATGGCTTGTGTAATTGGAACCCTTTGGCATCAAAATGTCCGTACGTTTTTTTGGTGGTTTCCTTGTCTTCAATGTCTAAGGATTCTTTGAAAAGTTTTTAGTGTAATTTGTACACTGAAGTGATTTGTTGGCTCATTTCTGAATCTCCTGAACTTAAAGGGATGGATAGGATCCATAAATGAAATATATATAATTTATTTTAGATATTATATATATATATATATATATATATTATTTATATATAATCCATATAAATATATGCATGTTAGTTCGGGTCGGGCCAGCTTCAATCGGGGACCTGACCTGATCCGACCTGATAGGATCCAAGCTGGGCCTGGGCTTGGGAATGGACTCAGACCCAGTCGGTTCAAGGTCAAGTGGACCCAAACCAGACCCATTAGGTCATGAACTCGGTCGGATCCCAGGTAAACCCAACTCAATCCCCACCGCTAATTTCAAAGTATGTGGACTACGTGATGTAGAGTTATTGGATGTTTTCAGGGAAAGTTTATGTGGGTCGGCTGATTCATGTGTTACTTTGGTTTTTAGTTTAGAATGTGAAATAGATATTAAATTATTGCAAATCCATTTGGGCATCAGATCTGTCAATTGAGAGCTCTTAAAATAGTGTGGATTTGAGGATCTTTGAAGAATTGAAATGAACAATACAAAAATCAGAACAAAATTAATTATTTTTTAAGACTCAAAGAATTTTTCTTTCCCAAATTCACGATCGTAGTGAAGGGAAAAAATGTGGGATACAAAATCCATCTATAAGAAGGATTTCAGAAGGCAGATGCATAAGAATAGGTAGGTACCCTAACTCATTAAAAAACGACCTCTTCTCCAAAACCCTAAATCCCCAAAAGGTTCTTGAAAGAATGCATGCAATAGCATATCTAAGTCAAGCATCCTATCATGCTTTTTATGCAGTCATCTATAACTACTGGTATGCCCTTATTTACCAAATTCAAAATGATTTCTAGGTAGAAATTTGCCAACTAGGAAATAAACATAAAAAAAAAAGGAAAAATACATAAGGATACCATTTATTTTAGCACAAGGATGTCACAATCGCCTTTATTTGTTAGATTTCAAATTGAATGGTTGTAACATTCTTGTCCATTAGATTTCAAATTGAATGGTTGTAAAAGCGTCATTAGTT